TTTCTGAGATTAGCCAAAGAAGTGCGGGAAGAAGAGTGTGTATGAAACAATACCTCGGCTAGCAGTGCTATTTATAGTTGGGGTGAGGGGAGGTAGGAGAAATTACTTAGGTGCCCAGGGAGAGGAATGATCACAAATGGGCATGCATACATATTGAAATGTTATGTAGCTGTTTAACAACCGGCTCTGGAGCCTGTCTAAATGGAAAGAGGCATGTAGGAAATATTAAGTATAAAAAGAAACACGATAGTTATTTTACCAGCAAAATCGCCTTTGGAGGCGCCTGGATGGCTCAGTTGGTTAAGCTCCCGACTCTGGCTCAGGTCATGATCTCTTGGTTGGTGAGTTCCAGGGCTGGTAGTTGAAGCTGCTTCTGTCTCCATCTCTCTCTCTTTCTCTCTCAAAAATAAATAAACATTAAAAAAAAAGAATAGACTTTTTAAAAATGGGTTTATTTGGGAATTGCGGAGAATTGCAATCTGGGACAAGCAAGCTTAGGCAAAGTCATAGACAAGTCCCCAGAAGAAAGGGGAGGAAGGCTGGGAGAGCGCAGGTTGGCAAGGCTGTTAGAAACAGAAAGTCCCTTGGCAGAAAGTGGGAGGTCCAAGAATACTGGCTTCTCATTGGCTGGGCTGTTGCGGGGGCAGGAGGAAACCTTTCTTCCTCCTGCTAGGGCAGTAGATACCTATGTGCAAGGTTCATCGCTTCCTCTTAGGTCTGCAGTTGCCCCAGCCATAGGTGTGAGGGCTACTCCTGCTGGCTTCCAACTGCGTTCTAAATGACGTTTGCTTTTATTAAACATCTCAAAAATCAAGTGAAAACATTATGAAATAGCTTCTGGGTGCTGATTAAAGTGAAATAATATACACAAAAAATATCAGAGGTGGGTATACCTAGTTTTATAACGTGTTAGCCTAAAAAAGAGCTAGTTATTTTACTAGCAAAATGACTTTATTCGGGAATAGCAGAGGAATTGCAATTTGAGACAGGCAAGCTGTGGCAAACCATAGGTCAGTCTGGAGAACAAAGGAGAGGCATGCTACTTTACAAAGACAAAGGAGGAAGTTGGGACGGGCTGCTTTTCCTCTATTGGAAGAAAGTGAAGAGTTCAGGATGGCGATGGTTTCTCATTGGCTGAATCGTAGCAGTTTCTCACTGGCTAGGCTGTTGCTCCCCAAAGAGAAAGAAAATCATTCTTCCTCCTGCTGGGTTGTAAAGAGAACTTCTTCCTGTCCAGGAATGTGAGATAAGCTATGAGGGAAAGTTTGTGGGTGAGAGGCCCCTCTATAGGGTGTCCTGATTCCATTTTAGATGAGGTTTCCCTTTATTAATTTTCACAGACCACAGGGTTCCTTTTTCCACTTGGGTAAGTGCATCATTCCTAACAAAGGAGAATACTACTGCTGTTGAGGGGGGTGTTAAGGGAGTTGAGTGAGCCGAGAGTAAAGAACACTGAATAGCTAGTAAAAAGTCTGGTTTTGAGTCTTTTCTGTAATTTGGGACAAGTTGCTTACTTCTTGGGCCTGTTTCTTAATCCTCACAAATAGGAGAATGGATGAGAGGAAAGTCACAAACAAGTTCCTCAAGCGGCTGGGCATGTGATGTAAATACATAAACTGGGCCAAGCAAAACAGCAGGGAATGGTGAGGCCTGGGGATACAGAAGAAGGGATGCCTTGCCATGGGCATTGAAATTAAAAGCATTTTATCCAGACCAAAATGAGATCTCAGCATAAGGTGTTCCCTGAGCTTACAGTGACACAGATGACCTTGTAAAAGGTACTCAGTTCCAGTCATTCTCCTGCTTAAGGTGCTCTGATGGCTTTCTGTTAGCCTTAGAGTACAATCCTTGCCCCTGGTCTACAGACCCTACCCCACCTCTCTGACCATGTCTCCCACCATCCAACTCTTCCTTTCTTTTTTTTTTTTTTTA